AGCAGCAAAGAAATGAAGCAGTCTGTGCAACATGTAACCACCTGAACACAAAGGCTCTTCTCAGAGCCACCCATATCTCTGAGGAAAGAGCTGAGCCCGGATCAAATGATCCCTGTCCCATCTCCGAGTGCAGGGATAAATTATGTATTAATTAATGTGAGTAACTCGTCCACATTTCTCTACCGGATTTACACCCAGTCTCTCTCCCACACTCTACAATAAATTAGTATTAGGTCCACATCATACTGCCCATAGGTTCGGGTGCAGTTTCATTTCATGTCCGTCTGCTTTTCACATATTCAGGGATAGTCTCTGAGAGGAACACTGGGCCAGAAACCCCGCTTCGCAACACAATCCCCAAGAAATGATTTTCTCCCATTCAGCTAAAGGAATAGAAACTGACATTGAAATTGAAGCAACCGTGTGTTGTCTTGTTAAGAAAGGCCGGGACATGGCCGTTTAATTGTGTCGCAACTGCTTTTAAAATTTTCAGGTTTTATTATCTTTGAACATGAAGCTTGAGTCTGCAGGTTTTCTGCCGGGCATTATGTTCACAGCCCTTGTGGAGAAAAGGTTGAGTTCCAGATTCATTTGGGGGCTGGAGCTAGCTGGAGGCGGAGCTGGACATTTCTCTGTCTGTCACTCAGTTTCCTGCCCGGGCCGCCTCTCACTCTGTGTCAGCTGTTTCTCAGTCAGGCCGGGGCGGGCTGTATAAAAAAGGAAGGTGAGGCAGCGCGAATCGCATTCGGCAGCGATTGGAGTGACGAAGTGTGATGTCTGGAAGAGGCAAAGGAGGCAAAGGCCTGGGAAAAGGCGGAGCGAAGCGGCACCGGAAAGTGCTCCGTGATAACATCCAGGGCATCACGAAACCAGCCATCCGGCGCCTGGCTCGCCGTGGTGGGGTCAAGCGCATCTCGGGCTTGATCTACGAGGAGACCCGCGGGGTACTGAAGGTTTTCCTGGAGAATGTGATCAGGGATGCGGTCACCTACACTGAGCACGCCAAGCGCAAGACCGTCACTGCCATGGATGTGGTGTACGCTCTGAAACGCCAGGGCCGCACTCTCTATGGGTTCGGCGGCTGAGCAAATCGACCCTTTTCCAGCGAACCAAAAGGCTCTTTTCAGAGCCACCCAAACCCTCCAAGTGAGAGCGGAGACCTGAGCACAGGAAAGGCAGCACATAGAGAGGGTGTAGTGTACCGCAGCTGGTTATTCCACACCTCGAACTGTAATTCTGGCCTGATGCGAAATGTCGCAGATTGCAGTATTTCTATTTCATTCCTTCCAGGAATGATATTCAGTTCAGTTTTCATTCAGGGAAGCCTGCAGATGTTTTAATGGCCTGTTGTTACACTCTGTCTGTTACAGTTTTCGGACTAATTCTAACTGGGTGAAAGAAAAATGAGCCGATAAATTGAGATTGTGTAACTTTTTTAGCGTACACTATTAGCTTTGAAGATGCTTCAATCGGCGGTGTTATTTAGATTCATTATCGGAGGTGACACGGCCGGTTGATTAGTTTGAGATAACAAGGTGTGGAGCTGGATGAACACAGCAGGCCAAGCAGCATCAGAGGAGCAGGAAGGCTGACGTTTTGGGCCTCGACCCTTCTTCAGAAGTCTGGGCTGTGTTAAAACCCCGCGTTTTCCTCCTACCTGTTACGGGCAGATCAGGCAATGATTCCGCGTCCTATCCGCGTTAACTGCAAGTTAGGTTTAAAAAGAAATCCCACAAAGTACAGATTTTATCGTCGTTGGACTTTGTTTTGCATTTAAATATTTGACTTAATTTCAGGATTGCGAGGTAAAATCGGCGGGCTTTTTGAAATTGACAAACTGTCATTTGAAGTTAACCAATCAGACTCCAACAACTATTTTATTGCCTTTTCTGTACCTCCAGGAGCTGTTTCTCAGTGGGTTGAGGGACGGGACTGTATCCAATCCCAGCTCTAAGGCGGGCTCTTCAATTCCCTTAAATACGCAGCGCCGCCGCAGGCTTAGTATTGATAGCAGCAAAGTGTATGTGTGTTGCAGGGGATGGCCAGAACCAAACAGACAGCGCGTAAATCAACCGGAGGGAAAGCTCCCCGCAAGCAGCTGGCGACCAAAGCGGCCCGCAAGAGTGCGCCGGCCACGGGCGGAGTGAAGAAGCCTCATCGCTACAGACCCGGCACGGTAGCTTTGCGGGAGATCCGCCGCTACCAGAAATCGACCGAGCTGCTGATCCGCAAACTGCCCTTCCAGCGCCTGGTGCGGGAGATCGCTCAGGACTTCAAGACCGACCTGCGGTTCCAGAACTCGGCCGTGATGGCCTTGCAGGAGGCCAGCGAGGCTTACCTGGTGGGGCTGTTTGAGGACACCAACCTGTGTGCCATCCACGCCAAGCGAGTCACTATCATGCCCAAAGACATCCAGCTGGCCCGCCGGATCCGCGGGGAGCGCGCTTAAACGGAGCGTGCCCGGACCCGCACGTTAACCCCGAGAAACCCAACGGCTCTTTTCAGAGCCACTAAACTATCCAAAAAGCCGAACTGACGCATGATGTGCGTTTCGTTGTTATATTTCCATATCTTACCATTATTGCACTGGGCTAATTCAGCTGTAATTGCAGAAACTGCATGTGGCTGAAAAAAACACAAGTGATTGTGATAGGACTGATACATTTGTGTTATTTAAATTAAAACTCAAGAAGCGTATTTTAATTATAAATTGCGGTTTAAATTAGTCACAAAATAATTGAAGTACAGCATCCCTGTATGTAAATTAGAAATTCACGACAAAACCTCTGTGCTTTTTGCTTCCCTTGGCCTTTCCTCCAGCTCTACTTTCAGCCTCCTGTTTGTTTACCTCAGATTCCAGCATCTGCTGTTTCTTTTTTTCTGATAACTGTGACCATGGCTGAGAAGGAGGGTGGGGAAAATGGCACCAAATCGTTAAACGCTTTCTTACAAATTTGAAAATCCCGCCAATATGTAGAAACCTGGAGGCGGTTTTACACAGAAGAATGCAAGTGTACTGAACGAGTTGATTTGATTTTCAGATGACAAAATCTGTAGTTGACACAATTTGTTTCCTCATTCCACAAGAGGCTTCTCTCTCTCTCTCTCTCTCTCTCGCTACTGTGTTGCTTTAAATGATTTTATTTTAGAATCTCCTCGGATTATTCTTACCGCTATCTCATATCCCCTCTTTGCCCTCCGGATCTCCCTCTTTAGAATGCACCTACTCTTTTTATACTGCTCAAGAGATTCAGTTAAACCTCATTTTCAATATCTAATATATGTATATTTTTTTTCTATTCTCAACGTCGAACCTTAATCATCTAATTCAACCATTGCTCATTAATCCTACTTTGGTAGATGCTCTTCGGAACGTTTGTTCAGATTCGATCAATCAAACGGTCTCTTTCTGCTGTGTTTGGATTCCATGAACGTGCTTCCTGATCGATGTATTGATAGGGACACTATCTTTTCATTAGTTTTAAAGTCTCCCACCCTTATTCCAGCTTACACTTTACTGCTGTAACTATTGAAGATATTTCTTAACAGTTGTCCAGTGAAAATATGTGGGTTGAAATTAGAAAAAGGAAAGGAATGATCACCTTGCTGAGATTGTATTAATCGGCCCCAGAATAGTCAGATGGACATTGACGAACATATATGTAGAGACATCTCAGACATAAGTAAGGATAATAACGTTGTAACAGGTTATTTTAATTTTCCAAAGGTTGAGTGGGACTACACCAGTGTCAAAGGTTTGGATAGTGAAGAACTTGCTAATTGTGTTCAAGAAAGTTTTCTTTAACATGTAAATATTCTTGGTAGAGACAGGGAAAAAAAAAACGTTTTCTTCAGTAATAGGGCAGGGCTAGTGATTGATGTGATCGTGCAGGAACACTTTGGGTCTATGATGGTAATTTTATTAGCTTTAAACTAGTTATGAAAAAGATAATACTTCCTTGGACTTCAAAATTTTTAATTGAAGTAAGGCAAATATTAATGGTATGAGACAACAACTTTCAAAAGTCATACAATAGAATCCCTATAGTGTGGAAACAGCAATTTGGCCCAACAAATCCACACCGTCCTCCAAGAGCATCCCACTCAGACCCATTCCCCTATCTAACCCACCTAACCTAAATATCCCTGTGCACAATGGGCAATTTTAGCTTGGCCAATCCACCTACCCTGCACATCTTTGGACCGTGGGAGGAAACCAGAGCACCTGAAGGAAACCCACGCAGACATGGGGAGAATGTGCAAACTCTCACGCAGACAGTCGCCCAAAGCTGGAATCGCACCCGGGTCCCTGGCGCTCTGAAGTGCGAACCACTGTGCCACCCATTGGTAGTAGAGTGTTCACAGGTAAGGGGATGTCTGATAAGTGGTAGGCATTCACAAGTGTCATATGAAAGTTCAGAGTTAATATGATCGTCTTAGAGTAAAAGGTAAGCTGGCAGGATAAAGGAACAATGGATTAATAAAGATATTGAGGTTCTCGTTGGGAATACAAAAGAAATCGTATTAGATAGAGACAACTGGGTTCAAATGAGTGTAGAGACAGGAGGAAAAATGACCTTTTCATCAGTAATACGGCAGGGCTAGTTACTGATGTGATAGTGAGGGTGCACTATGGAGTGTAGGGGCATTCTGAAGAGACCAGGAAAGCAAAGAGGGGATTCAAGATAGCTTTAGTGTAAAAGTTTAGGATAATCCAAAGAGATTCTGCAAGATCATTAAAAGCAAGCGAGTGATTAGAGAGAAAGAGTCGAGCTCTTAATACAAAGGCTACCTATTTGAGTTTTGAAACTCGGAAGACAGGAGGAATAGAGAACAAATATTTCACAAATAAAATTGTTGGGGGAGAAAAGTAGAAGCTACAGAACTTGGGAAATAAATATTGATATTTTGAAAACAGTTCATATTACACAAGAGGATGCGTTGGAGGTCTTAGAAAGCATAGAGTTGAATAAATGTCCAGCATCTGATATACTGTATTGAGAATATTGTAGGAAGTTAAGAAGGAAATTGCAGAAACCCTTGCAGTAATGTTTGTACCATCTATAACTATAGTGAGGTGCAGCATGACTGGAGGTAGGCTAATGTGCCTTCATTTTCAAGAAGGGATGGAGAAGCTTACTAAGTATAGGCCTGTGAGTCTGAATTATGTGATGGGTACATTGTTGGAGGTGATTCCAAAAGGTACGATTCATATGTATGGGGTAGGTGGGGGTTTTCAGAGAATGGTTGGGGATAGTCAGCATGGTTTTGACTAGTGCTTTTACTGAAGCACTATATCAGGTTCTGGTCACCCTGTTAAGGAAGGATATTATTGCACTGGAGGAGCTTCAGAAAAGATTTACCAGGATGTTGAGATAACACAATGT